ATCATACAAACAGAACACACAAATTTGTGGAACTTTTCCTTACAATCCAAAACAAGGAAGATGAGTTAAGAACAAAGATCTATTTCTTCATAATCACAAACCTTCAAATGAGCAGCAGCTTTGTCCTTATCGGTGAAAACACCCGTGGACTCCACAATGTAATCAGCTCCAGTCTGTGCCCATGGAATCTCCTCTGGGTTCCTTCAGATATACGAAGAAGGTTAACAATCAGGAACTCAAATCGACCCAATTTGTATATAATGTTAAAGAGATAAACATTACCTAAAGCCAAAAACAGTAACAGCCTTCTCACCAAAGAGAAGGGTTTTCTCATCCTTAACCTTAAGCTCATGATGCTTCCACTGGCCGTGTACACTATCATACTTAAACATATATGTCTGCAACACCGACAAATCAAACCCAACAACTAAATTATCAAAAAAATCATCAATTAAATAAACCCATTCAAAATTTCGTTTTCTAGGGGCATGTACCATGTAATCAACAGAGATGAAGGGGTCGTTAACAGCGACAAGTTCAACATCATCTCTTTGGAGAGCAACCCGAGCGACCAATCGGCCAATTCTTCCAAATCCTTCATGCAAAACAAGATTTCAACTCTATAGAACATAGTACCAAGCAAACAAAGCTAGATAAAATTCACTTGAATTTGAAGTTTGAACAGATTCTTACCGTTAATTCCAATCTTAACCTTAGCTGTGAGAATAGGAAACAAGTAAAAATTGATGGAAGTTAATAATCGAAAAAGAGAGATTCATGTTAACAAAAAACAGGAAAAATAAAAGGGAAAGAGAATCAAAATACCCATGATGATTTTTTTGTGTGTGAACTGAGAGGAAGAAGGATGTGACTGAGTAGTTGCAGGATTTTGTAGAACACTGTAGTGGAGTTGTTAGTGGTGAAAGGGTTTAAATATAAACTGGCTTGGTGACCGGAGACCGAAATAAGCAGTGTATTTTGGATTTTCATCCCTACATTTTTATTTCTAACGGTTTGACTTGTCATAATAATTATTGATGTAGATATTTTATCAGACTATTCTATTAAATAATGTTTAGTACTTTTTTTGTCTATTTTTAATTATTATGTTGTATTTTTGAAAGTCAATTTGATTAATTTTTAAAGTTAATTTATATTATATTAATTCGATAGTTTAAACAAAAAAAATTGATATTCAAAAACTATACGAAAAATACTACTCCCTCCGTCCCATTTTATGTGAGGTAGTTTTGACTCGGCGCAGAGTTTTAAGAAAGAAAAGGAAGACTTTTAAAAACTTGAGGTAAAAAATGAATGATAGAAATTTTGTGTGGCTGTAAATCATTTCATTAAGGATAAAATAGATATTTTATAGTTAAATTGTTACTTAATATAGAAATGTGTCATTCTTTTTTTGACTAACTAAAAAGGAAAGTAAGTCACATAAATTGGGACAGAGGGAGTATAAATTGCAATTTTTTGCATATCAATATGATAAAAACTACATCATAAAACGTTAGTCAAAATTCTTATCGTTTGACTCTAAAAAAAGGAAACAATGACAATTAAAAATGGACGGAAGGAGTAGTAGGTTTTAAAAAATGATTGGAAGAATAAGTATTTAATATTAAGGGTAAAACATGGGGGGGGGGGAAGGTTATTTTTGTTGATATGTTAAAAATGACTATTTTAGAAATAAGTGACAAGTAAAAGTGAACGTAGGTAGTAATGTACTGTTCCATTACTTAATTGTAAAATATGACACATTTTACAAATTTTACTACTCCCTCGTCTCAATTTATGTGACATATTTCGTTCTGTGTCCCAATTTATGTGATATATTTCATTTTTTTTTGAGTTAATCAATTTAAATTTAATTGAGATTTTGCTCATGGAATCTTCAAATTTTTAAAAATGAAATTTATGTATTTATAAACTACGTAAAAGTATTATAAGTCATAATAATTGACAATTCAAAATATCTAAAAGATACATGAAAATTTTACTGTTAAAGTTAGACTTGTTTGAATCTTGAAATCTAAAATGTATCACATAAATTAAGACATAAGAAGAGTAATATTTTGAGCTAACAATCAAATTTTCATATAATTTACCATAATAAAAACATTCTTAATGATCCGATCAATATTGGATCAAATAATATGAAACTAAGAAAATATTAAACATTTGCCTTTTGACTATAAATATAGTTGTGATTGTTATATATTGACTTAAATTATTATTAAGAAAATTCTAATTTTAAAAATTAAATTAGGAATTAGCATGTCTGACATAAAACATGATTAGTTAACCATAGTTGTGATAAAAAAAAAATCTATTTTTTTTATTATTATTTTGGTCAGAACTTGAAAAATACAAAATTCCATCAAACTGTGGACAGGAAACTGGGAGGTCAGGTTGTAAGAGAGGTAGACTTATCAGTGTTTTTCAAAAAAAAATTATGATGGAACTCCAATTTTCAATACTTAAAAAGATGAATAAAAAAAACAAAAAAGTTGGCGGAAAAAGTTAGAAGTTTCGAGAGAATGCTGCGTGAATAGTAAGCTGATAAAACCGACACACGGGTTACTTGGCATAAATATAGGACACCATTTACACTTGGCACATCTTTTTCTTCCAACTCCATCTCTTCTATAACACCTTTAACTTTGATATAAAATTTTAATTTTTTTTTAAAAAAAAATTTATACTCTATATAGTCTTTATTATTTATATTTATATACTAGATGAGTGTTGCCCGTGCTATGCACGGGCCCAACGTTTAAAATGTAATTATAATTTTACTTCTATTTGATATGTGGGGTGGATCAGTGATGTAGGAGCGCAGCAATTAAACAGGAAAGAATAAAGAGAGGGGATTCTGCCATCTCAGAAGGATTTTTGCTGATCCAGCTAAGAAGTGAAAACTCTGATTCTGTATATTCTTCGATTTTGGAATTCTATATTTCCATACTTTATACACAATTACATATATGGTAGTATAAATCTGAACGTAGATGAGCATTAGGCTACGAATAATAGCTTCATGCACCTGCTTAAGACTACCACAATCTAAAGCCATGCTGGCGTTAGTTTCGTCTGCCGAGTTTCATTTTCCCCAATGATGCCAAACATATTAGCTTTTACTATTAACTATAAGCAACCAACGACAACACTTGGAAACCTTTGTCCACAGATGATGATACTTCAATTCAACACATCCTTGGAATTCTGCTGAAGTTCTTTTAGACCCTTGAACGGCCCTAAACCTTTGAATCAACACAACAAGAAAGAAAAAATAACTACTTTTCATGTACATTTCGATTTCAAATAATAGTGTATTTATAATGGATCTATAAGTAATGAGTTTAAACACATTATAGCTGCCAAATTTGTTCATTATATATTCAGTGAGATACTTACATAGTTTAACATTTCCTTATGTGGGAGTGCTAATTACATACATTTACATACTATTTTGAATTAGACAAAAACAAATGCATCTTTTATGGTTGGATTTTCTGGATCATCTTTGATCAAAATCACATGTTACATCAAAATTGAGGGATTAAATGTCACAGAATCACATAATTTATACAACATAGAATGAGCATGACACTATGACCAAACAAACTGGAACAAAGCTCAATAGGCTTAAAAAATGACACTACTCATCCAAGATTTTAACCCATATAGGCGAAGAAAATCTTGGTAATTCATAAGATACAACTCAAACTATATTATATATAAGACTAAAGGAGCATTATTCATAAAGAAATTGATTCAAAATTGTGACGGTAATGTCAAAGGATTAATCAATCTGGACAAAAAATTATGATTTTTTTTTAA